ATCTTCTCACAATTTTACATAAGAAAAGTTAAAATTTCAAATCCTCAAGCTGTTTTCTTTCACCAAAAAAATTCTTAAATGTGCTTCAAGTTTTTACCACAACAAACTGAATTTTAATATTTTAAAAACCACTAAACGCAAGAAAAAAAATAACAGATTTAAATTTGTTAGCCAATTTTAAGTCAGAAACAGTAAAATTTGTGGTGTTTCAGCCATTTACCAAAAAAATTCTTAAATGTGCTTCAAGTTTTTAACACAACAAACTGAATTTTGACCGGTGAAAACTACAAATTGCAGGTAAAAAATAAGTACAAATTTGAATTCCTTGGCCAATTTTAAGTTAGCAACAAAAAAAATCGAATGCTTGTGGATTACGAAACATGATTGTCCGCTTTCTTCTAAACTATTATCTGTTGTTATTCTGCTTTTTTACAGTAGAAAAATGATCACAGTTAGTCCTATTTTCCTAAAATGGCTAAACTAGTAATCACGAAAACCGGATTTGCAGATCATATTTTTTTTTGCCTCAACATTAATTTTTGTATTGCTCAGAACAATACAGTAATCAATCGATTAATCGAAAATATTTTATAAAAGAGTTTACATCAGATTCCAAACATAACATAGATCTCGTAGCATTTAATTCATAAAAAATTCACAAAAATTTATCGTCAAAGTTAACAGATGTCTGGCAGCAATTTATGTGGCCATGGTCATTTATTCCCATGGATACCACCACTCATTCAAAATTCATATTTTTCATTTTCGGCGTTGTGCAGTCCTCACATTAAATAAAAACGGTCCATTTAATGGCATAAAAAGTTATGCGTTTTTTATTCGAAATTACTCTATCGATTTAAGCATTAAAAAATTAGTGTTGAGACCAAAAAAAAACACGGAAAAACACAGAAAATGTGACTGGAACCGGAACCGGAAATTGAGTAGATGTATCCGGTTTTTGTGGGGTATGCTCTTGCAAGTAACTATTCTAAATTTTATAATATTTGGTCAAATGGTTTCAAAGTTATTACAAAAAAAAAACAAATTCTATACCTACATTTTGAGGGCTGTAAAATTTTTATCAGTAGAGATAGCATACGAGTTGTTATTTGAATTAACATCATTTTTGAGGTTCAAAAAATATTGCTTCATATTTATGAATAACTCTATGTTTATTTTTTTAGGTCAAATGGACTTGGAAGCGGGTCGGCGATTGGTTTATCGTATGTATAGTAACCCACGAATCACCAACACCCCTGAGACCTTACGACATTACCTGGCCTTTCAATATGTCCGACGACGGCAGTATTAGACTTGTATACCGACAATTATTACCATCTGAGTCAAATATCTGCCGTCATTTTAACAAAGTAGCAACTCTGGACGCTGGTTCTCTCTATTTGACTTCATCGTGTTTTCAATCCGAACAAAAGACAGGCGACGAGGACCTCCATATAATAAAATTCAACCTCCAGAACAATACTCATCAATTAGAAGACTTAGACTTGAAGTCCGAAATCAGGGATGAAGTGGCAGCTCTTGCTTACATTTTAAGTTTTTTACGCAACCAACACTTGTCGAGCTTCAAATCGAAATATATAGTCCGGCGGTATGTAGCATCCTATAGTGGGGTACTTGAAATGTTTCCGGGGAGTATCCTCGATCAAAGTTTTGATCCCACTAAACGAGCCTGGTTTGTGCAAGCTGTCGAACACAAGTCGAAGATTATTATGATTCCGCCGTATTTGGACGAAGGAGGCGCTGGTTACATTGTTACAATTGCTTACGCCACTTCAGATGTGGTTGTGGCACTTGATGTCACTTACGGGTTTGTATTTCGGACACTTTTGAAACGTATGCCCTTTTGTTTGGCCACAAATGTCACGTGTTTTCTTATGGATGATCGAGGCTATTTGATTTATCACCCGAATTTGATAAATCCGAATGAACATGGACCGGTGGAGAAACAACATATTGTCCATAAAGAGTCATTGGTTGCTAATGATATTTTGAGTCATAAATATTTCATTAAAAAGGTGCTGTGTAATAGTTATGGGAGTGGTACCGTTCAAAGGTTCTACAAGTTAAATACTAGTTATAGCGATGTTTTGGTTAGTTCAGTCCAAGGGGAGCATTGTGTTAGTTACCATATAGCTGCGATACGAAACAGCAATGTTTTTATTGGGATGGTTAACGCGACTTGTAACGTCGTGGTTACATTTTGTCCGTGTAGTATAGTAGACCGATTATGTCTAAATTGTAACCGTATGGAACAAAAAGAGTGCGAATGTCCATGCGAATGTCCATTAGAACAACTCAAATGTACGGATTATGACCATAGTAACAATCCGGTTTGTAACTGGTTTCCGGAACATGTGACTCACAAAACACGTTTTATTGAGGATGCAACAAATGGCATGAAATCGTGCTTTCCTGCCACTTGTAAACGCGAGAAAAGCCATTTGAAGTGTCTTGGGGTGAGTGGTTGCGAATGGTGCAAGTATGATATTGGTGGTAGTCCATTGGCGAGTCCATTTTGCGCCTCAATGGCCACTTGTTTCAATGGAATAATCGGGTCTGTGACACCCTACAAGAACTCCCTCCACGAAATTGATCTTCCAGAAGAGTCTTTCAGTGTGCCTATAAGTGTCATAACTTTGTTTATATTCGGAGTACTTCTACTCCTTTGTATGTTCTACGTGTATCATCGCTCTCTTGCGCCTCAAACCACCGAAAGATTGTACCTTTCTTCCACTCAAGAGAATCATTTACGGATGAGTGATCTTAATCTGAGTGATAATTACCACGCTATGGGTAACCATAGAGATAAATTGCTTCACGAGGATAAGCCAGATCCGATTTCGCCATATTGTGTTTCAAGTAATTACAAGAGAACGACTACTTTAGCGGCGGATTCAGATCATGGTTACTCGACGATGACCCAACATGACGAGTCGGAACATATGTCTTTGGCTCCGGTGGAGTTTGATTCGTTGGATGACGATTTGGGATCGGATAGTATTTCTACTTATATCAGTGTGCCAAATAAGCCGCAAGGACATGTTGAACAACCGCAACAGTTCACATGTATCCCCAGAAACAAATGTATTGTGGTTCCAGTTACGGTCCATAGAAACATGGAAACGACGTAACAGTAGATTCTAGGTGTTACTTGTGTATATTTCTGCACCAGTATACAGGGTGCGGCATCGCCCTGCCCCGAAAGAAAATCCCCACTTCTAATTAAATAAAATTGTTGAATTTTTTCACACTTAACCTGGGCATTAGTAAGGTACATTCTCTAATTTTTTGGTAATTTTTCATTTACAAACAAAGCCAAAAAAAAATTAAAAGTAATTTTCTCCCAAAAAGTTTGATTCTAATTTTTATACTGACCTACGCAGATTCACTTCCTACAATTGTTTACAAAATCAGAAAAAAAATACCAATTAGATTTTGAATTAAACGCAATTTTCCATCTTAACTTTGAAAATCATTTTTTTTTATAGGTAAATTAACAGAAAGTATTCATAAAACACACAAAACTGTTACGGACTCATTTATTATCAAAAAAAAATTAGAAAAATCCTCAAATTATACCCTGTCAATAATTAGTTAGGTATATGAAATATCGCCAGTTTTAATTAATTTGAAGTTGCGATTTATCAAGTGCGCGTAACCGATGCCCCACCCGGTATCTATTTTGAGTACTTAACTGTATATTTTGTAAAATTTATTTATTTTAATTGTAGATTGACTTTAGAAATAATTTAGCAAATTAAATTTTAATTCAAAATTAGATCAGTTTGTCTTATCGAATTATTATTAAATTTGATTTTGTGTGTATGTGCTCTGTGGAAGAACTGCCAAGATTTTTACATTACTTTTAACCGCTACACGTCCATATTTGTACAAAATTTGTTATATTTGGACTTTGCGATAAATTGTTTGAAACATTTTGTGCCTTATAATATTTTTCTTTGTTTTAATTACACGACTCTTTTGCTTGCTTTCAAGTGATTTGTCGGAAATGTTCCAACTAGTAAACGACTGGTCATTTTGACTAATGTTATTGAAAAAAATGATACAGATTATTGTGCAATAAAAACGTTCAATATTGTAGCTATCCATTGAATAAAGTGTACCTGTTTTTTAAGGTTTATGTACTTTTTGAAAAATAAAACCTGTTTAATTAAAGGCTATTTTTTACGATGACGACCACTAAACTAAAGGCCTGAGCCCTACTTTAAAACTTTATCTTTTTTAACAACTTTCTTTAGAAATAATAACACATAAAATTGTAATTCAGACTGAACCAAAAGTAACGCACAAAATTCATATCTTTGTTGTGAGTCATTTTTCAAAAAAATCCTCGAACAGGTCAATTTTATTTTTATAATGCTACATTTTGACACTAGTTTTTGAGTAAAATTTTTTTAAATCACAACTGACATTTTTATTACTGTTTTAGACAGTACACCGCATAAAATAATTCAAAAAAAAAATAAAATAAAAAACTTGTAGAGTTTTATGCAAACAGTTTTATTTTCTTGTTCTTGCTTTGTTTTATAAGGGGTGATTGTTTTTATTTTTTATATTAAGTTTTTTATCCTACTTATTTAAAAAAATATACAAAAAACAATTGCCCCTTATTAAATAAGGCAAGAACGAAAAGATAAAGCCTCTTGTGTTTAATTGTCAATATTTTTTTTAAGTTTTAATTTCTTTTTTTTTTCTTGTTACCAGAAAGATAGACGTGTGCTATTTAAAACAATGAACAAAAATGTCAGTTGTCATTAAAAAAAAATAAATAGCGTCAACTCAAAAACGAATGACGTCATAAATGTCACTATTCTGTCAAAATATAGCATTTAAATAAAATCGACCTGTTCGAGGATTTATTTGAAAAACGACCACTAACAAAGAAATGAATTTTGTGGGTTACTTTTGGTTCAGTCTTTATTAGCAACTGAATAAAATTCGGGCCAAAAAAATGTACCTATTTTAATTTTTAAGCAAACTTTTGTTTGTTTTGAAATTGATAAAGGAAAATAAAAGATTCATATTATTTACAATTACAATTTAATGATTTTTGGAACCTTTCAGTAACATTAGTTATAGTAAAAAAAAACATGTACTATACAATACTGCAGAACTGAAAATTTTGGGTGCCCTACCTAAAAATTGTTCCTAGCTACGGGCCTGAAGTCTCAAAGTGATTTTTAAATAAAAGACAAAGTAATTTTAAAGTTTTATTGAGAATGTTACAATTGGCAAATTTACTGTCCGATAGAAATGGTAACGGCACGACTAGTATTAAATTTATTAATTTTTGAATTCTACATAAAATGGCACAAACTAATTTTAAATGCATAGTTCACGCCTACAACGAAAACGCAACAACTGTACGTAAGATAATTAAGCTATGTTTCTGGCCAACATCTTAAGCATTGACATTTATTATAAAAAAGTGATGATTAAAAATTTACTATCAAAAAGAATTGGTTTTTACAAATCCTAAACATGGAATTACATTTAAATAAAAAGCAACAGTTACAAATGACATTAATAAATTACTGGGGTGTAGACAAAACCAATTCTCTTATTTTTTTTTAATATTTTTAATTTTTTTTGTATATAAATTGCTTCACTCTTCTTTGATAGTATTGAGCACAGAATAGTAATTCTGACTAAATTTAGACAAGGCAAGTGTGGAGATTGAAAATCGCCAAGTCAATTTCTGACAGTGAGTTGTCTTCTTCCTCCTATCGTACTCTTTCAAAACACTGGTGACGTTTTCAAAACAGTTCTTATAATCGCTTGAGTTAATCTAAAAAAGAATGTCAAAAACAATCAATTCCAAACAAACAACACCTTACATTGCATAACGTCTGAAGTTCAATCATAACTGCCAAAATATAGAACATTTCCGTTGAATAATAATTGGATTTTTTGGGATTTTCCTTGGACAAAAAGCGGTCCATCTCAAAGTGGATGAATGCTAACGCAAGGATAGATGGTTTATAAGGTGCACAAGATGAATCACAAAGCAGTATTTCAAGTCTTGTACAAAGTTGTTGCCACTAAAAAAAATACTTTACCCAACTAAAATTGAAATAAGTGTAACAAACCTGCAACATCCTGTTAAGCAAACCCTCAATCTTAAATTGCACAGCAATGTATTTGAAAATATCCATGAAGACTTTCAATTGGTCTAAATGATTGCAGTTGTTGGTTACGTTTACCAAATTCAGTTTTTCGGTAATTATTGCACTCATACGTTCCATATCTTTGACAGAACATTTGCTTTGAGACAGGAGCACTAAGTGACTAGTATTGATCTCAAAGCCGTGAGTCTGAGCCGCCAAGTTGAAGCAACTCACAGACAAGCACGGAAGAAATTTCTCCTGAACCTAGCGAATAATTATTAAGACAATGCACAACAAGAAGTTAGTATTTACCTTCATGCGCGCTAAGAAGTTGTCAAGGTAGTAGACAGCAGAGAAAAAGACACTTTGTGGGGCATCAAACCAAACTTTGAGAAACCTCAAAACGTGTGCAGCACCATCCCTAGCAGACATTGTAACTTCCCAAGGCTTCCTTTCAGCATAATTGCAAATAAACTGACTCTCGTTATTTAGGGCTTCTTCAAGTTTGTAGATGATTTTTTTAATACCAGCATCCGGCATAGGCCAGCTCCTCCCTTTGCTATGTTTTTCCATCTTGAGTGTACCTTACTTAGGAGAATATTTCTTATGCAAGAATCTTCATAAATAATTGTACACCATTACTCAACCTTAACAAGTCTAAACCAGCAAAAGTAGAAGCAGGCCTAGAACCTATATAAACATGTAACATAATTTTTCTCTACAGATTTTGATTACATACCCGGATGCTTGAGAAAATTCGTTTAAAATAACTGCTTTTAGGCTTTTATTTATGCTCCAACGACACAATCTACACAATTATATTAACGTACAAAACACAAAATGCGAAATGAAAGATCAAAATGACGTCATAACAAAACCGTTGAGCAACCTGACCGAGAAATCCGGTAACACGAACACGAAGTCCGGTTGTAGTGAATTTTAATAAAATTTGTCTCGTAATCATTTGATAAGTGTATTTTTGTTATCATTGTTTATAATTTCCATGTAAATAAACAAATTAATTAAGAAACTTATTTGTTGCGTATTTTGTCTCTCCATTATTTTATTTAATATTGTAACTATTCTTCATGCAATTTCTGTCGCCATACAAAATGTTTTTTTCTGTATGAAATTGTAGTCTTTTGGCACAAAAGTCCAGTTCTTCTTTTATACGAAATCAAAATTTTGTAAGGTATTTTACCTAAAAAAACGCAGTTGCGACGTTGCCAGTGTTCACGAAGTGTTAATTTTGTAAATTAGGATTAAAAAAATTGTGAATATAAAATGTTTAGTGTTTAGGTATAGGAATAAAGAACGCACTATTATATTGTACATATATTTAAATTTGAATAATTACACAAATAAAACAAAAAGTTAGGATGTGATAAATAATCTAGACAGTAAAAATGACAATTCCTAGAAACTGAAAAGGAATACAAACAATATAATCACAGAATTTTAGAGCTACATTAGGTTTATATGTATATATTATGACTGAAATATACAACTTTTTACATTTTGATTTCTCGCAGTAAAATATTACAAGCTTAACATCGTAGTGTAATAAATAATTTAACAATACAAACAGTTCTAAAAAATTTAATATATACAAACATGAGCAATGAAAATATATAAATAAAAAAATATCGAGGTACGAATCCAAAAAATAAACTTAACATTGGAGAAAAACATGACTATTAAAAATTACAATTGGCTTAGATTAGTTGCTAATACGACTCTTTGGACAAATTAACCCATACCTCTCGAATCTCACTCACTTTCATCCTAGTCATCGTTAAAATCCCATTTTCACTGAGATCACAAATAATGAATAAGGAAATCAGTTTATGAAAAATTTTGACAAAGGTTTTCGTAATGAACTTATTAATTCAGTCTGTAGTTTGACACGAAACTGGAATTTTAACAACAAGTACACTAATATTTAGTTCTTTTTACGATGGTACAATAAATACACATCTATACAAAAAGAAGTGATGACTTTTTAAATTAACTCTAAGTCTTTAAATTCACTGTAATTGAGCACTTTGAGTAAAAAAATTTCACTGTTTAAACATTGTCATTTTGGTTGTTGGCACCTGTTAGAGGCTGTTGAGCCTGAAACACAAAATAAATCATTAGAAAAACACTTATTTAAATAAATTAAACTAATAAATAAAATGATGCGAACAAAAACAAAACCTTGTCTGAACAGAAAAAAATAATAATAAAATCTATTACGGTTTAGCTTTTGTATTAATTTTAAATTATTAAGTCATTTATTATGTTCCTGCGTCAGACGAAGCTTTATTATTGGACTAGTTAGTAATCTACTTTATCTACTGTTGAACAGAAAAGTAGAAAAATGAAGATACTCACCAAGTATCGAATTCATGACGCGTGAAACAAAACAAAAAATACTAAACGATATCTGAATGATGCAATGGTTAAAAGTGACGCACAATTACGCAAAGAAAGCATCTGCTTTGAAAACAAATGATTTCTTTGAACAAGTACTTTCTATCATAATTAATAAGAGTTACAACTAACGGACTGATGTTTTTATAGTATTATTATAAGTAGTATATACAACAATACAACAAGTTAAAGCACACATACATAAAGTTAACTACAAATGTTATAGAAGGTGTAGTAGTTAATTAACATAGCTTAAAATAAGCTATTTTATGTTGGCACAGCGTTTATCAATAAAGTTGATTACAAAAATATTAGTTTGCAATCCAATTAGAAGCTAATACTGATGGACAAGAATATATTACCTATTAGTAAAAATGTTATGCTATTAACACTTCAAGTCTTAAGTGCGTTAATATTATTTTAACCTAGTCAGTAATTCACTTTGATTTGAGCATGCCTTTGTACGAAACTGTTTTTCTTGGCAAAAATAAATCAGAGATGCTGTCATTTCATTCAATGATTCAAAATAAACATGAATGAATAAATTTTCATGCAATACATGAATACTGAATATGTTAAAAAGTCATTTAATGGACTGATTATCTGGATGTTATATTATTGTAATCCAACGTGAGTGCCCTTACCTCTTCACCAACTGTACTTAAATACGGACGAGATGGCGGATATTGATTTTTCTCTAAAGAAAACTGATCTTCGGTTGTTTTACGATAAACAGGATTATCGAAATTCATAGATGTCATGTTACGCTTCACGTATTTTCTATACAGGAAATATACCACCTGAGAAAAATATAATTAAATCAAGAACAACAACTCGGGAAATTATACTTACAATACCGATTATGACTATTACAGCAAAAGATATTCCAATTACAATAACAGCAACAGCGCCGTCATCAGAACTTTCAGGGATTACACTAGTTGTGTGTGACTTATTAGTTGTACCTAAAACCGGAAATAATAACAGAAAATCGTCGAAAAATCAATACATAAAAAATAGAAAGGAAAAAAAAGAAGCCACAAAAAGAGTGAACCAAGAAGCAAAAAGTGTCGAAAAAGACCATCACCAACAAACCAAACTTTTGTACTCACTTTCCGTCATATAATCTGACATTGACGAATAATCTGTATAAGTTATAGAATTTACGGTGGTCGTAAATGTTTCTGTTAAATAAATACAAAAAAATAAATAAAACAAATCAAATCAAAAAAGTAACGACAACAGAAATAAACTCACCATCTTGAACACACGTTAATCCATCTTTCAACATCCTTAAATTCTCAGGACATGCACAGGAAATACGGGGGGATTTGGCATTTATCTGGGGGGCTGGTAAACAAAGGTGGGAACAATGACCGTTCACTGCCTGGCAATGGTTCTCGCCGTCGGGTTGTCGGTAAGGGTGGTAGACGTGAATGACCATCGGATTCTGAATCTGAAAAAAGAAATTAGAATTAGTTAATCTTTTAAATTAAGATACAGAAAAAAATTCAAGTACGATGAGGTACCAAGAACATGGAAAAAATGTTTAATCTGGTAAAAAAAATTGACATTTATTTTTATTCACCCCAAAAGTACCCAAATATCTAGACCACTAAAAATTGGACACACGAAAAAACAGGGTCGAATCTTACAAATTTAGTGTTTTCCCAAAAGTAAACATCCGAAAAAATCCAAAAAACTTAGAAAATGCCTTGTTTTCAAGCATCCCAAAATGGCTGGACCAGGGAAAAAATCATTGAAAACAACTCAAAATAAAACACAATTACTTGTGCTAGTACTGAAAAAAAAATAGTAGATGGAAAAGATATTTCATTCAAAATGAAGATGAGAAACAAGCAAAACAGTTTATTAAACAGTTTTCTAATCTATTTATGGGAAAGGCAGACAGACAACAATTTTTTAAATTGCCACCAATAAATCACTATCAAAATAACGTATGATCAAGGCAATAAAAGACATTAAATTCCATACCAAATCAGGTTTACAGCAATCACTTAACCATTATTTGATCTTGAAATTGCTACAGATGAGATTTATTTTTTTTTTCATTATTTTTCGGTCACTTCCATAAAGTTTTACTTTATAGCATGAATTTTAAATACATAACTACGTTCTTTTTTTGTTGTAGGAAAGAATGTCGAAAGTAAATAGAATCATCCTCCTGAGAATAAACAGGAAACTCAAAAGTGAAAACAAAAAACTAACAAATTTTGAACAACAACATTTTGTCTGTTTTTTCATGTGCCCGAGTTTTGGTGGTCTATAGATATTTGAGTACTTTTGGGGTGCATAAAAAATTATCGATTTTTGAAGAATTTTTGGTTGCTTTTAAAGTAATTATGTTTTATTTTGAGTTGTTTTCAATGATTTTTCCGCATGCCACATACCCTGGTCCAGAAGTAAAAAGCCATTTTGGGGTGCTTGAAAACAAGGCATTTTGTAAGTTTTTTAGATCTTTTTCGGATGTTTACTGTTGGGAAAACACTGAATTTGTAAGATTTTACCCTGTTTTTTCGTGTGCCCAATTTTTGGTGGTCTACTTTTGGGGGGTGAATAAAAATTAATGCTTTTTTATGGGTTTTAGGCCTTTTTCGGTTGTTGACTTTTGGGAAAACAGCTAAATTTGTAAGATTCAACCTTGATTTTTAAGACGCCAAATGTGCTGGTCCAGAAGTAATATTTTACATCCTACTGATAAAACTTGGAAAATTATTTTTCCAACAGAAATAAACAGTCAAAAGTGCAAAATTTAAACTCTCATAACTTCGAAATTTTTTAATAGCTATTTGTATAATGAGATAGGAAATGTATTATTTTTCCGTATTAGGCAGATCTAAAACATGCCGTATACGGAAAAAATACACACATGGTTTTTTTCTACTAGAGTTTGGAAAACTTTTTAAATCTTATAATAAAAAATATTTAGAAACAAATTGTAAATGCGATCGAAATGTTTGCGTTCGCTACTATAGAGAAATAACTTTGTAAAAAAAACAAAATGTGTGAAGGCAAGAAAAAAGTTTGTGGAGAAAATGTCTGATTCAAGCGAAGCGTCTGATGTAGAAGAATCGGGTACATTGGCGGTTCAATCTTTATTACTTGTGAATTTAAAAGGAAAGTATGAAAATGCTTATTGTTAATTTGACAACAACAACAACAAGGAAAAAAGAGTAAAGATGATCAATGAGGTAGTGTTGTTAGCATATTTCGAACAAAAATCCAAAGTATACAAGAGTTCTACATTGTAGAGCATTTATTCAATGGTGAGGACAACATTATCCATGAAGAAAAATATAAACATAAAGAAGTTTCCAAGTTTAATAGCTTTTCTTAAGCGAAAATCAGTTCTAAGAAATCCAGTGTTTTCACCAAATTAGAAATAGGAAATTTTTTAAGAGAAGCTGACGATAAAACCTACTTAATGATGAAGGTATTTTTTTATTTGGAACTCATTCAAATTATATAATTATTATTTAAATTATAGGTAGTGCTGATTGTTGGTGTCAGTGGAGCATTACAACGAGAAGAATTAACTTTTCTACAAGTTCAACACATCAAGGTGATGGGCTCGTACATTTTGATTGAAATTCCCAATACAAAAACCAACGTACGAAAAGAATTTCCAATTTCCAATGGGGACATAAAAAATGTGGACCTGCTTGTGATATTTCGGAAATATTGTTAGCTTCGTCCTTCACCAATTGAAAATTCAAGATTTTTCTTAGGATATAGAAGCGGAAAATGTACAATGTCTTTCTATATAAGAAGAGGTTAATGTAAATAGTAGCTCTGTTTCTAATTTGAGTAAGGCTTGTGCTGGAGTTTCATTTAGACATTGTGACAATGTTAATAGAGATGAAAAATAGTCATGTGGAATTTCAATAAATAGATTTTGAACTTTCAGTGTTGAAATATTATTTCCGCACTTAATATTTCACTTTTCCTAAATCAAATTAATATGGAAATATTGAAGTTTTCCAAACTCTAGTAGAATTTTTTTCCATGGGGCGCGAGTTCTGGCGAAGCCTGTATTTTATTAACTTACCATGGCCGTGGCTGTAACAGGTTGTACGTCACTTCCGGTGAATTTGTTGGCTTTGAAAACGGCGGCTTTATCCCAGTCGGTCCAATAGACCCAATCTTCGAAGGTGGTGATGGAAAATGGATGTCTGAGAGAATCCGGTGAGAAGAGTATAAGTCTCCTGTTCCTTCCATTATAATCACATGAGGAAATCACATTTAGCTTAGCATCGACCCAATAGACCCGTTTTTTGACTAAATCCAAAGTCAATCCGTTGGGCCATTTAACGTCATATGTAACAATAGCCTGTCTGTGTGATCCATCCATCCCCGATCTTTCAATTTTTGGATCACTTCCCCAATCCGTCCAGAACATCCAGCCTTCTAAAGGATTAAGCGCAAGCGCTCTCGGTTCTTCTAATTCGTCTTTGATTAAAACTTTGCGCATTTTTCCATCGAAATTCGCCAGTTCTATTGTATTCTTCCCGGTATCTGTCCAATAAATGTGGTTGTAGATCCAGTCAACCGCGAGACCGTCTGAAGTCGTTATGTCATTACTGATCACGACCGACCTCTCATTTCCTTCATCAATCGGCGCTTTGTATATTTTTTTATCTGTAACATCGCTCCAGAAGATCATTCCAGTTCGAAACACAAAATCGAGAGCTGTGGCTGAATTCGTCTCGTTCACAATACTGGTCATTTCGTGATGATCCAAAGAAATCTTTCGGATATCCCTTCTCCGGGCGAAGAGCAAGGAGGCGTGCCCTTCGATTGCTTTACACTTAGTGAGGTCACGTGGGTCGCGCATATACCCTGCCTGGCAATCGCACTTGAAGCCGCCTTTATCATTGATACAAATCTGGGAACAACTGCCCGGAATCTCGCACTCATTGATATCTGCGAATTTCGGGTTATTCCTCAAAGGTCATTTACTTCTCACCACTTACCTTTACACGTGGTATTATCAACCAGTTTGTAACCGTGGTTACAGTCGCAGTAAAATGACGATGGAGTGTCGACACAACGTTGGCTACAACCTCCATTATTTTCATTACATTCATTAATCCCACATCGACCAACTGGCTCGTCTTCACCATCAGGACAATGCTGACGCTTATCGCAAACTTGGGAAAGAGGTATGCAATTACCTCCGCCACAATCAAACTCCGTCTTCGGGTCGCATTTGGGCGCCGGAGAACCTACCAACCAAACCAACATTTCGTTTCATTAACTAAATATCATTTTTAATTAGTTTTATTAAAATTCGTAACTTCTTCTTTCCTTATGAAGCTGTTTCCGAGTTAATTTCTTATAAAGCAATTGGAGTATGTTTTCGAGTAGCTAATTTTGAATCAAGCTTTGTTTAATTGGATCTGTATCAACAATTAAGTTAGTTCGAACAAAATGGTTTTGACAGGATGTTTCAGAACTCGTGCTCCAGAGAAAAAAATATTTCGAAATTATGGAACTTTAAATTTTGCAATTTGACTTTGACACTTTGAATTTCTGTTAGAAAAATAGTCTTTTAAGTTGTTTCCTGTGGGCTATTAGAAGAGGAAAAAAAATAATTTTTTCAAATAAATTTGTACCCCAGGTAGCAAAAAATAATTAAAATTAACAACGTAATTAATATATTAACATTTTTCGTGTAAATCGGTGTAAATGAAAAATACATTTAGACCAGTGTTGTCAGGTGTGGTGAAATTTCATCAGATCTTGTGATTTTCATGTTAGTTTGGTGATTTGGTGAAAACTTTTGTAAAAATTCTAATATCTGGTGATTTTTTGGAAATAAAAAAAAACGATTTCTCGAGCATTGTCTACGTTTTCAACCAGAAACTTGATTATTTCGTCAATTTTTTCAAAGAAATCGAAAAACCACCATATTGGTTAAAAATGGTTTTGATGTTACTAGACAGGACCGAAAATGACAATTTATTTTTGTCTTTTTCGAATACCTTTTTAGCTAGAAACAATCCAAAAATTTAATAAACAACCAAAAACGGCGTTATTATTTTTTTTTTTGAAATATTTAAGCACGTTTATGAGATAAAAACAAAATAAAATCACACAATGAAATCGAAATTGATATTATTTTTAGCTTGTTTCGCTTGACTTACTTCGTTATTAAATCAGAGGCTCACTTATTTTGCAAAATCTTGTCTAAACACGCTTAAAAATCACAAAAATAAATGATATTGAAGTTATTTTATTTTGTTTGTTTCACTCGATTTAACTGGTTTTTGAGTAAAATAAGACAAAAATAAGACGAGAATGTTTTTAAGCACGATTTTGTGCTACAATCTCAGGTTTTTGCGGGATTTCGCTAAAACAAACTGAAAAATCAACATATTAAGTCAAAAATCACTTTTCTCGAAAGTTTTAGCTCGTTTTTCATTCAGAAACGCAATTATTTTGCAAAACTGTTTAAAAACAAGCCAAAAAAACACAGAATTAGACCGAAAATGATATAATTTTTTCTTTTTTCAAAAGTTCAAGTAGAGTTTTAAGCTGAAAACTCTGTTTTTTCGCGAGAGTGTGCTATAGCGTGTCAAAAATCATTAAATTGTTAAATGAAAAGATTATATTATGATATTTTTACCTAACTCTTAGGCTGTATGTAAATTTATTATTTCGTCAAATTTTCTCGAAAAAAAATCGAAAACCACCAACTTGGTAAAAAATAGTTGTATTTGTTTTTTACAAGATATTACTAAACAGAGTGCCAATTTTTTTCGAATGCTTTTTCAGCTAGAAACGTAAAATTTTGTTAAAAACAAGCCACAAATGTAACAAAGCCGGAAACCGGCGTTTTTTTGGCCTTTTTCGAGTGTTTAAGCATGTTTTTGAGAGATAAAAACACAAAAAGTTCGAAATATTGCGTTAAAACAGGCTAAAACATTACAAAATTAAATCAAAATTGATATAATTTTTTAGCTTATTTCGCATGACTTACTTCGTTTCTGAACGAGGGGTTCATTTATTTTGCAAAATTTTGACCAAATACGCCTAAAAATCACAAAAGGATTGATATTGATGTTATTTTGTTTGTTTCACTTGATTTAACTGGTTTTGTAACAAAATTAAGACAAAAATAAGCTAAATAAACACAAAATTTGACCGAAAATGTTTTTAAGTACGGTCAGGTTTTTCGCTAGATTTCGCTAAAACAAACTAAAAAATCAAGAAATTATGTCTAAAATAATATTCTTTTTGCATTTTTTTCGAGCGTTTTAGCACGTTTTTCAACGTAATTATTTCGCAAAATTGTGTTGAAATCTATCCAAAAAATTCACAGAATTAACATGTAATTTTTTGCTTTTTTAAGAGTTTTTTTTGCGAGATTTTGCCATACAATCTGGTGAAAATTTAGCAAATTTTTCAACTCGGATTTGATGGATTTTATGTTTTTGATCTGATTTAGACTTCTACAACGTGGTGAGTATACGTTTAGTGTTATTTGTGGTCTTTATTGGTAAAATTTTTGTCCCTTTATTAAATAATTATGAAAAAAACATACAAGATCAGTAACAATTAAATAGACATAAAAATGTCAAATGTCAAAATTTTTTAACAGAAAACTTTTTAAACATTTTTCCCATGTTCCTGGTACCTTATCTTACTTGGAATTTTTCTCTGAGGCGCGAGTTCTGAAACACCCAATATTTGAAATAAATTCGTTTGGTTCGTCTCCATTATTCTTATTAAAATAAATGAAGAGTGATATTCGCACAGTAACATTTAAGACCTTTCTTAGCCAACATTTGCGGCTTTTCGGGGAAAAAAGCGACTTGCTTACCACAATTGAGTTCGTCGCTGCCATCTGGACATTCCGGATGTCCTGAACAATGTAAATGTCCTGCAATACAAGAGCGATCCTTGCACTGGAACTGATCGGCTCTACAAGTGATGTTTTGACAATTGTCGGGGGACTCGTCGGACCCATCGGGACAATCTCTTGTACCATCACACAACCATCCCTTATGTATACAAGTTAAATGATCTCCGCATTCGTATTCCTCGGAAAGACAGAAAGAACTACTACTTGCCATTTTCGGACATCCCTAAAATAAAATTCGAATTTATTAAATTGAGATTTTTGTGGATATCTTTACTTGTTCATCTTTCCCATCCACGCAGTCATACTCCCCATCACACCTCCATTTGCTAGTGATACAAAAGTTTTCAGCGCATTGAAACTCCGAATCGGGGGCACAAGTGACAGGCGGACAATCCTTCTCATCCGAGTTATCTCCGCAGTCGTTATCTAAATCACAAACCCATCTTTTCTGTATACATTTCCCGTTTTTACATGTAAATTCATCCGATCTACAAGTCTCATCTGAAACAATTTCGTGTTTAAAGAGAATTACTTATATTTTTAAACATCTTACTGCATGCTTTCTCGTCACTGCCGTCTGAACAGTCGGGGTTGTCATCACACATCCATGTTAAAGGAACGCATTCACCTGACGCCGAACGACATGTGAACTCATCAACGCCGCAGACTTTTTGTTCTGAAAGAAAATTTTCAATTGTTCGAAACACAAGCAAAGAGACTTACGACAAACATGCTCATCTTCGTCACTACCGTCGTTACAGTCTTGTTCGTGATCACATTGCCAATGGGCCGGGATACAACGGCCACTGCTGCATCGAAATTCATTTTTTTCACACGTTTTATTCTCTGAAAAGAAACACAAAATCTAATAAACTTACGTGACGAATTGCTACAAACACAAATTATGTGCTCTTTGTTACTCTAAGAGATACACGAAACCTTCAAACTTAAAGAAGCAGAGCAGAATTACCTAACATTGCCACACCTCGAGATATCTTCATGAATACGTAAAATAAAGAAGAATTAAAAAGAAAACTGACACGTCCTTCCTACATACAGTTCTGTATTTAGGAAATCTGGATACTAATTTAGACAAAGTCATTAACGTTATTTGTGGCTTTTATTGTCAAAATTTTTGTATCTTTACTAAATAATTATAAAAAAAGACATATACAAGATCATCAGTATCATTAAATAGACATAAAAATGTCAAATGTCAAAAAATCCATGTCAAATTTTTTTGACAGAACTTTTTAAACATTTTTTCCATGTTCTTGGTATTCTATCTTACTTGAAATTTTTCTCTGTAGCGCGAGTTCTGATACACCCTTTATACTAATTTATTTATACAAGGTGAGCAAAAATTATGGAACCAAGTGTTTTTTTAATCATTTAATCACCATTTAATCATTAATGTTATTTGGGGCTTTTATTGGCAAAATTTTATTAAATCTTTACTAAATAATTGTAAAAAACGTATACAAGAATCATCAGTGTCATTAAATAGACATAAAAAATGACAAATATCACAATTTTTTGAAAGAAATAAATAGTCAAAGTGCAAAATTTAAAATCTCATGAATTTAAAATTTTTATAGATAGAATTTTTAAAACATTTTTTTCATGTTTCTGGTATCTATCTATTAATACAGGCTGTCCCAACCAAATTTGCTCTCAAGTTTGAGAAAAATGCTGAAACAGGTGAATTTATGAATACACCGAAAAAGTTATTAAAACAAAAAAGTTACTTTTTTCTTTAAATCAATATTAAGTAAAAAAAAATTTGTTAAAAAAATCGTAAAAACATCTTGTAGGAAATGTATCTCAGTTTTTGAAGCTAGCCTTACATTCTTGGTTGCTGAGATATTGATGATCAAAGACAAAGATCCTTTTTCATTAAAAGTCAAACATCACAGCGACAAATTAATGTAAAGAGAACATAACAAAAGTTAACCAACTAATAAAAATTCAGCGGACCAAAATAAATTACTATTATTTCTCTCGCTATTTCTTAGAATTGTGTAATAACCGTAGCTCAGAATTTTTTTGCCAAAGATCTCAAGACTAGAAACTTGAAGCTTCAAAATGGTCTTTTTTAGTCTAAAAAATCATCCAAAAATTTAAAAAACTTTTTTGTTCCCTTAATTTTTTAAAAACTTTATGTGGAATGTTTTGTCGTCTTGAAGTATGTATTTGAGATAATTAGAAATTTTTTTTCAAGGAGTTTTTCACTGAAAAGCTGAATTAATTTGAAAAATGGGAAAACAAAATAGAATAACATAAACATGAATTTGAGCCATTTTCTAGAAGGAGAAAGAATAATAAAAAATTGAAGACATCTTTAACATTAAGTGATTTTAAAAAATGTAACGTTACTAAAAAAGATACAATAAATACAAAATTCCAAATATTATTAAGAGTTATTATTATTATTTTTTTACCTTAAACAAGAGTACATTATTTTCAATGGGTACCCGACTTGGACGCAAATTCTAGTTGGGACACCCTGTATACTACATTCTTTTGTAAATTTTTTGTGTGCTGTGTTAAAATTGTGATTGGCTACACTTGGTAAAACAAACATCAGTAAAGCGGAATCAGAAATCTGGAATGGAGGATCGACTTGTTTACAGTTTTCTGTAAATCTCCCATGGGCTAAATCTGTTTTTCAAGATATTTGATTGCCTTATTATCACAGTATTTTATTAATTTATTTTTTATCAAAACAACAAAGTTGTTTGCGAAATATCATTAACTCATTTTATCATATTTTGAAAGTCGTAAAAGCTGATAATTATCGGGGTGGTAAAGACAAAACTTTTTTAATAAGATGTCTTTGAAATTGCGGTTTAATCTCCCTTTCGTCAAGGAAACAATTCGAGGAAATAATTCGAGTTGTAGGTACGTGAAAAAAAAACTGTAGATAATTAGTTATTTTGTATTTTAATAGCGACAATTATCTTGTCGATGGCAAGTAATCTCCGTTGCATAATATTTCCATTATTGTCCTGAAGATGTTTTGCGAGTTCATCGTTTTAATACCTAGCAACACGAGTGAATAAACTTGTGATAAAAATAACAAAATAATATTGAAAAAACTGACCCCGTTAATCAGTAATTAATTTAGAAATTGGCGCCCAAAATCACAACTTGTGATACTGAGGTGTGAAGGAGACTTGAGTTTAATGGAGTTTGACACTAAAGGTCAACTCAATTCGAACACGGATTTAAACTGTTTGTCTCCACTTTAAATAATATTTTGATAAATTAAAATTGTTATTATTTTAAAACTCAATTATCACAATTATGGTTTCAAGGATTTATTTCTCTAACTGCACAAAATATATCGTATTTTTGACTTTGTGCGAGATAAATGATTAATTTTTGAAGTTTAATCAGTGAATAACTGGTTGCCTATGACCGTGATTTTGATCGTGAATCGCATATAAAAGGTCGTAATTTCAATCCGGGTGTAAAACAAGCATGAACAATTCACGTTATTGAAACTCCGGGTATTTGCACGTTTGTAAGACGTCAAATTAATTAATTGGGGTTGTGTAAACGAAACTAGAGCCGTGCAAAGAACCGAAGTTAATTCAAGAGATACTTGTTTATGTTATAAATATACTATGGGATGAAAGCCTTGTACTTGTCAAAAATTCGACCTTTAATTAAAAATTGAATAAATTCGTGTCACGTTTTAGACTAATAACCATGAAAAGGTTGAAGTTCAGGGAGCGCGTACACATTTCAAAGGCTTATCTGCGAAATGGTTGCAGAAGTCTGATACTATGTCCAACTGACAGCCTTGACGGTATTATTATAGAGATAATGCTAATCTATCTGCGCCAAAAAAGAGACACCAACCAAAATTACTTCCAACATTGTCATAAAAGACACCATACACCATACATGCCGCGAGATAAAAATATGGCCTGTGAAACAACTCCTACTTCTTCCTTACACGAGTTATATTAAATATCAATTAGAAGTAAAATCGTTCAAGCATGTCAAAAACATCATGCGACTATAATTAAGTAGTTTAGTAAACATATTCTTGCAAAAGCTAACTTCATAATAATTACAGATAATGCGTCTAAATAAATACTAAAATCGACATAGCGCCACTATTAACGTCACGAGACAAAACATAATTTACATACACTTTCTATTTATTATTATCTTTCTCTCTTTCCTTTCACAGAAAATTCAGTTTGATTTTAACGCTTATTAGAACAGAGACACAATAAAATTTAATAAATCAAACTTTATAAATGCTCCCCTTTGTTACCCACTAATCAATTAATCTGATTGTGTTACAAGTCAAAAATGGGGCGACTCCCTTTAATTATGTTGGTTTATTTGCATCTCGGGGGTGTCACCTCTGATAAATCGCATGTGGCGATTCATTAATTTCGCCATTTCGTATTTTCTTTACAATTTTCAGATTGTGCCACTCAATAAACAGAAATGTCTTGATCAACCTGCTGGCGCAGGTTGATTAACGATTCAAAATTTCTAATTTAATTTATTTTCTCGTCCCTTGATTCTCATTTCTTTATTCATTTATTTTTTCGGACAAAATTTGAAAGCTTGAACTCCAGTTGTGACGTTTTCGGGGAGGGGAAAAGTTTTGTTGGCATCTTTCAAACCGGAATACAATCAGTCTACTAAACCGACAATTCTGGAGTTTCCGTTGGTGAAATGGCCGTGTTTGCAACTTGGAAAATTATAGAATTAAAGGGAGTTGAGTTAATAGCCAGTCTTAGTGCAGCTTGGACTTGTTTCAAGAATTGTTTCATTCAAACAGAACAATACCCAACCACACATCGACAACACAACGGCTTCAAATTATTAATAAACTTAACTTTGAACCAAACTGAGGTGTTAATGATAGCACCACGAATTTCCTAACGGAATACCATATCGATTATTATTCGAATGAAAGATGGAAAAAGAGAAAAAGCAATTCCAACTTTCAAATTTTGCGTAATTAAGGGTTATTTAGACGTCAGCTTAATTACACAAGATGGACACCAATTTAAAGAGTTGAAAATATTAAATGTTAGAGATAAATCTTCAAGTTGTTGGCCTTTTCGTTTAAGTCTTTTGTTCTGCTGACGCGCGTGTTATTGTATAAAAATTGTAAGTTAGTTCGTATGTGTTTGAAAGTTTCCGAAGTTAAAGTATGCTGACTTGGAGTCGATATGAAATATTATATATTTAAAAGTTGAGCTGAGTCGTGCCTCGTTTCCTAGAATATCAAAAATTAACAATGGCGTTCGATTTACATCGCAAATTAAATTTAAAATTCATTACGTGTCGAGCGGAAATTAACCGAAATTTCGTGTAAATAGAAAATTGAATTTGTAGAAAAATCGTGAAACTTTAATTACAAATCGAGGGTTTTTTAAATATCGGCAAGGATTAGTTTTTAATATCGCAGCCATTTTGGACAAATATTGATACTTTCAGGATGTTGAGTTTGAAAACTTGGCTAAATAAACATGCTGCTCCTAGCAACGTGATAATATTGTGTTTCACCGGATCAAATTAAATTAAAATTAACTTTTAATTAAATGTCAGCAAAAATATAGCAAAATTTTCATTTGGCCACAACAGATTTTTCAGCAAATTGCTTCTTTCATTAAAATTTATATTAGCCGGGCTAACTCGTACCATTATTTTTACTTAAAGTGATATTAAACTTTCTTCGACTCTTTTTTAACATTACTTTATTGCGTCCCACGGTAGAGAATTGACAGTTGGTACACCTGAGGCTACGTTTTTGCCAGACCATTAAACGGAAAATACGGAACAATTTTCTCTACAATTTTATTTCATTT